AAAGACGGGAAGGGGTATCATTAGGATAGACAGACTAGGGAAGACATTTTTGAGCCACCTTTGGCAAAGTAGGAAGGAACGATTGGCCATCGGTGATCGGTCCTGTGGGAACAATGCTCCGTCCTCTCGAGGACGCGTGGTCAATGGTCTAACCGCTAAGGCATTCAAGACATAAGAGTACGCCCCCCCCACCGCGCTACGTAACCCGACTGACCATTGAAATGGAGGGAGGTCTGGTGTGTCGTTATTGTTGACACCGACCGCGCTAGCCGGCTGACCAATGAAACGACGCCAGTCAATAAGCGGTTATAGACTACTCGGTGAGCTCTTCGAATGGACATGGCCGAGACCCCGTTACGGGGATTTCATGGGGGAGGCTCCCTCTGCTGTGTGTGTGTGTGTGTGTATGTGTGTGTGTGTTTCGTTAACATCGACGAACGTGGTAGGGCAGACGACAAACGAGTGTACGCCTCTCTTCTGGGCGGGACGAGAGAACGCTCAAGCTATGAATGATACGTTAGTAATCGGTCCTTTTGTATCAAAGAAATATCGGTTGGAGATATACTGTACGGCCACTGTCCGGCACGACACCAGTACCTCGCCGTCCATGACCGGACCAGCGAGACTAGAGCTGACAACTCACCGGACGCCCACCCGAAGGCGCGATTACGCTTACATCCATGGTTTCAAAACCGTGTCTTGTTTTTCTTGCCCGGAGCAATAGCAGTTTCAAGCCTTTACTGCGCCCTTCTTGCCTTCCCTTGTCTTGAAGGCGGACCAGTGGCTAGAGACGTGCTGGAAGGAGCTGGAGGTCCCGGCGCAGGCGCTAGCGGCGGCTTCGGGTAACCAGGCCGTCATCGCCGAGGCTAAGCGGCACCTGCTATCCTTCCTGGCCACGGCCAACGCCACGCTCTCTTCTAGGTGTGTCCAGCCGCTTGCAAGGGAACGGGTTTGTTGACCTAACACGAAGGGAAAATTGTGTCGAGGGGGAGGTACCTACCTCGAGGGGACGGCAGGCCGGCGGAAGAGGTCTGAAGCGAATGGCGTATTTTCCATGTCAAAGCCGTTTGGGTTAGGGGCACGGCTCCAGCCCTGTCCTCGTGACCCTTTCTCTTTCTTCCTTCACTTTAGTGCCGTTTCTGCTCACCTGCGCCTTCAGTTTTTGTAATTTGGGGAGTGAAAGTGCGGTTCGTCGTTCTGGGAGTGGCTCCTGTTACCCCCCTTTATTTCGCGGCTTGTTTTCAGTTTTCAGGATTTGCTTCGCTCTCACGCCGATTGTGTGTGTAGTGCGTGTTTTCTCTTTCGCTGGAGACATTCATCGCTTCTTTCAGTCAAGGTTCCCCCACGCCATCTTTCAGTCATATCTCTCCCTCAGACGTGTGCCACTGCTTGTCGGCTTGCTCCCGCTTGGCCCAACATCGTACACAACCGTTCTTGCCTGCGACTCCCCCCAACAGCTGCTTCTTAGAATTCAGTTGTTTCTATTCACATTGATTCATGATTCCAATGATAAGCGCGATAGATCGAATTCCACCTCATTTTTTCATTGTAGCGGTTGGTGTTCTGAACCATTTCCTTGACATCGTCAGCGCACTCAATACCCCCTTGTCGGATGCCGATACACGATGCACGATACACGCGTGCAGCACCTTCTTGGTGGGAGAGCGTACGACGATCGCCGACGTCGGTCTCGCGTGTGCCTCGAGAGATCTCCTCGAGGGTAGCGTCGCAGGAGGGGCACCATCCCTCGGCGCGAGAGATCTGGCGGGCCTCCCCCACGTGCTGCGG